AAAATTAAACCAAGATTTAGAATAATTATCATTTTGATCCATATGGTAATGTCTGACTGGGCCTCGTGTCACTTTATGTTCAATAAATTGGGCCCCGAGGTCAAATAGGTTAAGAACCCCTGCCTTAGGGCACAGTTTAGACAGTTTATCTGCATTAATCTTATCTGTTGCAGCCAATTTTAATGGGCTCCACTCTAAAAGGTAATCAGATTACTTTTAGTAAGTCTCAGTAAAATCTGTTCAGTGGCTCATGACGTATGTTACTAACATGACAAACCAGAAGCAGGTGATAATTTCAGCCTTGGGTCATACCTTCACAGTGRAAGTGGACTTGAGTGGGAAGACACCTGGTGTGGTCTGCGTACTCCAGAGTGCAGAGCATGGCCGACCCCTTAGTGGGCAGGCTGAACATCAGAACCAGAACCGAACACAGGACATTACTGTCCATCACTTCCACAGACTTCTGCTGCTCCTGAAAACAWACAGGAGGAGTTCAAGTCCCACCGAAGYACCACCGTGTTTCTTCAGAACCTTTGTAGAACCAGACCACCTTCACAAGCCTCCGCTGCTGCCTGCGACCAACAAAYGCATTCAGGTGTCGGCTGAGCGAGTCCAGGAAGCCCCTCAGGTCCACCTGCAGGTCGCTGTGCTCGATGAGGGCATTCAGGGGGATGAAGGGGGGGACGCTGTGTCGACTGACCCTCACTCTTGGCTTCAGGTCTATTTCCAGGTTGTACGTGTCTAAATAGACCCCCTCGTATGCCGTCGCCAGAGACACACACACTCCCCTACCCCGGCGGGTATTGATGATGTCATACCCACCTGGTTGAATCAACAAGTAGGAAGAGAGGATTAGATAAAAGCAGCTCAATGCTCAAAGCTAACAGCAGCTGTTTGTACCGATGACGTGATGAGCATGCAGGTGATCCGTCAGTTCAGAGTGTTTCACCATCAACCTCCACAGCTCTGAGCTCTCTGCATCTTTATCCACTCCCTCCTCCTCTTCATCCGTACCCACTTTGTCTTCAGATGACCTCAGCTTCTGCAGACTCTGTGATGAGGAGGAGTTGAACATATTAAACTAACAGACAAAAGATTGAAACTATCATTGTGTAGCACTCAGAAMATCTGTTGGGGATGACTCGGAGCTACTACCACACTGTCTGTGAAACAGGCAGAGTTGTCATCTTTTTTTATCTTTTCTAAGCTCAGTTAGCTGTCTTGGCAGCTATCTTGGATTGGGTTGGCTCTTATGGTTAAATGTTAATTTAACGATTATTATTTCCTGAAAATATTATTAAAGGGATCCCCGATTAGTTGTAACATTAGACTTTATTTGATAAACATATATTTTAACTGTAAAAATACTGTAGGATATTTAGTTTTGTACATTTTTAAAAATATATTAGATGGACAGGGCCATTTTATTTACATGCAAAGCATTCTGGGTAAATGATGATGTGTGTCATGGACTAATTATTTATATCTGTTTCACCTTGACGCTGTCCAGTACTCATTTCTTATAACTTATTTCGGCTCTTAATCTGTTTATTCCAGACGTCAGGACTCCAGCAACTGACTGACCTCTGTTGTTTGATAAGTTAACTCTTTGGGCTGAGAGCCCTGTTTATTGGTTAGGCAGTTTTATTTGTCGGATTGTGATTGGTTGTAAACTGTCACATGGTGTTAACATGATGTTATATTATTGGCTGTCTCCGCTGACTAAGGCAGCCACAAACCAGACAGACTTTCTGATTGACTTCTGTTTGTTTTGTTGCTCAAGAATTAAATCCTTTGATGACCATACACGCAGACTTTCTGTGCATTTATTCCACCGTGTTTCTGCATTCTTGATAAACTTTGCCACGACAGATTATTGGCGTTGTCTGCAATGCTTCTGTGCTTCTGGCGTCGACACCCCCCCGCCGTAGTTCTGCCCGGCCTTGTTTTATGCCTAATCAGCTGTAGACATCCATCTCCCCTTTGACGAACCTCTTCGGGCAGTCTTTTACCCAGTGATCTGGGTCCCCACAGATGTAGCAGTTGGAATTTGGAGGTTTCTTGGCAGGCTGCTGGCGTTTCCAGTTACCGCGGCCTCTCCTACAACCGCGAGGGAAACGGGCAGTGTTGTTGGCATTAGCTCTATCTGCAACAGCTGGTTTTGTCACAGTCTGGGCCAATGTGAGCTGTGTTTGCCTGTGGGCTTCAGATATCAGCTTATCTTCAGCCTCTCTTTCATCCTCCAGTTTCTCATAGGCGCATCTGGCGTGTTTGCGCAGTWTTTCCAAGCGAGTGTTTTTCATGTCGAGACAGGTGACTTTCATCACTGCTAAGACTTCAGGTAGCAGCCCATTTAGGAAATGTTGGCTAAAAGCGCTCTCCCAATACCCCATCACGTCACCAAGGTCTGACGGCTCGTCTACTCCAGAGTACTCATTATGCACAGCTAGCAGCCGAGAGAAGTAATCTTCTGATGTTTCAGCCTTTAGTTGTAAACAGGCCTTCACCTTTGCCATGACAACATGGATAGGTCCTGAAGCTGCTAGCGAGCTATATCCACCCTGAAGGTTAATCTTCAATTAAATTCAATTCAATTCAATTCAATTCAAATTCAAAAATACTTTATTGATCCCAGAGGGAAATTACAGCGAAGTTGAAGAAGCCTCCGACTGAAGACACTTTGTCTTTCTATGACAGTCTGATGAAGAGGATGGTCAG